AATTTTTTCCATTGGGCATACAGTAGGGGATTGCACAGAGAAAGATTGGAGAGTGAGAAAGAGGAAGAGAACAGGGCTGAGAGACTGGAAGCAGGTGAGTAAGGGTTTTGGGGTTCTGGTTTAGTTTTGTTTAGAATGAGAATGTTTACAATACCCTTAACCTTTAAAACTTAAATCCATGATATATAAGGATATTTTTGTCTACTAAAAACCCGGGGTTACACATTGCTAAAATGGTACCAACTGAAAGCAAAACAGGCGTACGCCGCATTATGCAAACCCCATATATATATATATATATATATATATATATATATAATATTAGATATATATTATATATATATATATATATATATTATAATATATATATATATAGCGGAAAACATCCTTTAACACTTACCTTCTTGACGACGTTCAACACGTATGCACCAGTTTGACAGTTGGATCACAGAGAAATTTCACAACTGAGGGGCACTAGGATTTTTCGTCCAATCACACAACACAATTTGTCCTTATGTAGATGCTACCTTAGAATTCTGACATTTACAAATTCACTCTGAAACAAACCTAACCTGCAAATTATAATTATATGAGTTCTTAGGGATAACAGCCCCAGTTTTTCGATGCTTGCACAAGAGTGAAATTAAGTTTCAATGTTACATTCAACTTACCACTTGCTCTATGATGCACCACAGTCCCCACTTACAACTAACCGCATAGCCCACCTCTGTTACCCAATGCATCTGTATAAAAAATGGTTAAGAACTCATACTTAAACCATCCAAGTCATGACACTTTGCTTTCATTTTTCAACAAACAAAAAGAAAACAGTAATACTCCATACTAGTACCAAGTACACACAATGATACCCAAATGATGCTGTGATTCACCTCCACCCCTTTCGTAGCTCACACATTGTCCACGACGTTGGGCAATCTCACCACTTTCACGCACGACGTCTCACACGATTCACATACCTCCAACAGTCAACACATGCATCACAAACACACTGTCAGAGCCGTGATCTTTCACCCACCCACCATTCACTCCTTCGCATGGGACTACATCTTTCACCCACCACCACTCCACCCCTACCTCCCTCTCCACTCCAGTCCTCATATCTCTCCCCCCCGTGTCGTCCAGAACAACCCTTTTTGAACTCTTCCATCGTCTGCTGCGAATCGTTTTTTGAGAAGCCTAAGCGGATACCCCACCTTTGTCCCGCATTTTTTCTCCTCCACATACTTCTTGCCCGAACTGGAACACCTTTGAGGTAACAAATCACTGTGCAGAAAAATCTTCATACCACGTGCCGATTCACGTTCTGTATAACTGAATACGCCACCCTCTTCCTACATGTACACGTCTTCTTCGGCTCTAAACCGCAAATTCATTCTTCTTCACACCTTTCGCTTTTCATGCCCATCAACACGGACCACGCCGTTCTTCCTCCCGTTACCTGAACCACGGTGCAGACAGTGAAAAGGGCGGGAAGGAGGAAAACGAGAGACGCAGAATATCTGTTGACATACATCATACTAGCTTCACTAACCTCACCACTGTGTCTTCCTCGTCTCAGCAAACAGCCAACAACTCTCCCTTCGCACACAGCTTTCAACACTAGCAACCAATATATTATGCTTCTGATCCCTCAATAAATATAACGACCTACCCACTAGCAACCACATATGAAGTCCGTGTTCTGGTCAATGGTGCTTTCATATTCATACTACACTTTCACTGTGTATGTGCAGGAATCTTTGCTGTTGAATGACTTTATGAAGCAAGGTAACATCAACTGAGGAAAGCTCAGGAATATTTATGTAACCAAGCCACCACGCCAAGCCAAGCACTCTCGTGTATGTACAATATTAAAAGTAAAAGCCTGACCACCATTCAACTGTTATCAATTTTTTTTTATAAAGTCTTTCGAATTGGTTCTGTGTAGGAATCAATTATACATGGTTAATAGATATACATGGATGAAATTTAGGTAATAAGTGGAGGACACACATGACTTTTCCCTTACTATCCGCGCAAATCTCTTCCATGTTGGAGCTGACGAAAATGGACTGAATCCTGCAAATCCATCGTCGTTGATCCCTCCTTATCCTCTCAAACGAAGAACACAACGAATTAAACTATCGCTCGTAATTTCGCATTACAGTGTTATCCGTTCATGCGAACAATCTAAACGTTTAATGCTCTTCCAACTTAAGCACCTTTTAAACAACAATAAAAAAAAAAGTTTTCTCAATTAAACAATAATTTTAAAAATTTAACTTAGAAGCATTAAAAGGTTTTAATAAATGATCCAGTTGTACACTAGTTTGTAAAATTGTTAAGATTTATAATAATTGATTTAAAATTCAATACAAGTATTTTTGTAATAAGTAAGCAACTGTAACATTCTGTAATCCTTGATATGAGAATGTCTAAAATACTCTCTAAATGTTTAATTTAATTCAATTCCACTCATTCATGATCTTTAAAAATTTCCATTTTATATTCAAAATTAGATTTTAATTTGTAATCACTTTTTCAAGTGCTGTTTTTCAATTCCAAAAAAATCCATTGCTATATTTTTTTCATCAAACTATTAAGATGATTTAGTATAAATCGTTCCAAATCTTTTATACCTTTTGTGCCATCAAAATTAAAAATTTCACTTCTATAGTATAACAAATAAGTATTTGTATATATGTTGAGATAAAACTTCCATGGAGAAAAGTACAAATACAACACAAGTATTTAGTAATTTTTTCTTGGTCCTTTGAAATCTGCACCAAGATCTGGCTGGCCGAAAACAATGCCAGATGAATAGCCAAACATCCATAATCATAGAACAACAACTTAAACCCCTATCCCTCTTCCCCTTCCCCTCCCCAAAATTCAGCTTCCAATTTGCGTTTTTTTCACTCTCCAATTTTCACCCCAAATCAGAAATGGCAAGTTTAATCAGCCTGTCAATTTTGTTGGTCAGTGGTGTTTTCCAACCCGCACAAGAAGAAGAAGAAGCTGTCGTCCTCAGCCGCCGTGAGATTTGCTTTGATGGAATTGTCCTCTGTCTGCTCCACTCTCAACACTCCCCAAACCGACGCCGTTCACCCACCAGTTTGCCCCATGTACGCATGTCTATCTCATTGGTTTTGCAAAAATTGAGATTTCAGTAAAAAATTGCACTGGGTGGTGGGCCTTTTGTGGTTTGCGTTTTCAAAAGTTGAGTCTTTGTGAGTGCATTTTGCATTCTCAACTAGGGGCGGTTTGGTTGGAAAAGCATTTTCTGTTTTACTGTTTTCAAAAGTTTGCATAAGAAACAGCGGGAAAAAAAAAACAAAAACAAAAGGTATATTAACACTGACATGACAGCAAACAAGTCATCAAATTTATCATACATGACAATTTGTGATTGAATGACAATATAAGCTTACATTAGGACTGCATAATTCTTTTTCTCTTTCGTAATTAACTGTGAAAACATAAGTTTTTCATGACAAACTGCAATTTGGTGTGTCTTTTGTGGTTGCGTTTGCAAAGTTTGAGTCTTTGTGCATCCAAGAGTGCGTTTTCGTTGTTGGTGTTGTTTGTTTTATGTGGGATTGAGACTTTGATTGACGTGTGCATGTTTGATTGAATACCATGTAGCGGCAGCACTATTCGAGTTCAAGATAAAACTTTGGATTTTGATGAAATGGTGAAGAATCTTGTTCTATCTCCAACACGACGTGTGTTAGTGGCGAGTTTAACTATGTTTTCCTGTTTATGTTCTTCAAGGTACATGTCAGGTCCGCACGGTTCTGCTTTTGTGTTCAACTTGTTTGATTGGTTATATGTTCGTAAGTTCATAACTATTGGCTATGTATGTACGGGATGGTAAAATTGTTAGAACTTTTCGTATGAATTACTTTGGAAAACATATCTAAAGCAATTTCTAAGAATAGTTTCCAATCCAATACTTCCTATATTCTCTTGCTACTAATTTTCCTACTTACTAGATAATGAAATAATAGAATATTTTCTATCATCAAACGCATTTTCTTTTACATTAATACTTTCTTATAAAGTGTTATGAGGATTTGTAGGAAGATATAATATTACCCAATATAATTATTTGACCATGTAAAAATCTTTGCGCCCATAGTGCATGACAATTAAACTATTAACAGGGTATTGTTAATCTGCTAAAATATTTATATTTATATTGTATATGTAAATGCTAGTAAATGGATAGCTTTGGTTTGGTGTATTGACTAGTAGTTTATAACTGGACATGGAGCTGTGAGTTGTGCCCAAATGGTGGGAGGAAAATTTTCTCGTAGTCGCGGAGAGAAAGAAAATTGAATTTAACCTTTAATTTTATTTTTTTAACTTTGTAAAATTCATTGAATTAGAAGAAAAAAAAAATAGCCTTAGATCATATTGTACGACTTGGCTGGTGAAATTGTCAGCCAGTTATTTTTTTGTGTAGTTAGGAACCCATGGTTCAGGAGTCATAGTTTGTAATATGTCATCAATTTTAAATACATAACTGGTGAAGTGCAGTAATCCAATTCTAGCAGCGTGTTTTAATTTTGTGTTTTCTTTCATTATAAGCATATTTTTGCATTCTTTTATGCAAGTCTCTTTTTAGTATTTACCAGCAAAGTTTATCTTCATGTCATAACTTGTAAATGTACAGCCCTAGCATTGGGAGATCCATCAGTAAGAACACTTTGAAGAAAGTACCCCTCCTGTGTTTTCTTTCTGGGCACTCTGAACATTTTAGGGGTCAGCATTTCAATAATAGGCCCCTCTTTGTCTGTGGTGGCTGCATGGCACATTTTCTATACTGTTTTGTTGAGCAATAGGTTAATTCCAATTCTTGTGGTTTTCAGGATACGACATGTCCAGATATTTGAAAAGGAAACATCATATTCTGTGTTAACAATTTTTGATGTTGGACCACTATAGTCTCAGCTTCATATATAACTGGTTGTGGTTGAGGTACCTCAGTATTTAATCTATACTATCTTATTTTAAACTTCATTTTAAGGTCTTATCAAGGACTCTATTTATTTTTTAATTATTATATTGCGTCTATCTAATAAGCATGATAGATTTTTTTATTCTATCCTACAATAGAATATCAAACAGTTTAATTTGTTTTTTGTATCTATATTACCAGATTCCTGAAGGAAATGGTTCTGGAGTAGTGTGGGATGAGGAGGGCCACATTGTGACAAATTATCATGGTAGAAATCAGGCAGGGACCAGTTTCTATGTTTTGTTTTGCTTCAATCTTTAAAACAACACACACACATTTAGCTTTTGATCTCTTCAGTAAGATTTTGTTGAGCTCTCCATGTGAACGGGCTTAGGTTTCTCGTATGTGGATCAGGCCTTTCTCCTGTATTTGATCAGATTCAGCTGATTCTTGGTGTTTTGGCATGTTTATTTTGTACAAGTATTTGTTGAATTTTGTATCGTGCTTTTAAACATCTTTTGATTTATCTCCTCTTTGCTCCTTTCTTTGAATTCTTCAGCTCCATTTTTCTGCTTGCCTACTTGCCTAATGTATTTGCTGTGCTATGATAGAATGCTCTGTACTGTGCGCTTGTTAATTTGTATGCATGTTTTCCCAATCTCAGTGTATACGGTAGGCTTGCAAGACCAGGTGTACTTGTGATTGTTACATTCTTGTATTATTCAGTAGTTGGCAATGCCCTTTCAAAAAACCCAAAGGCTGGTGAGGTGGTTGCCCGAGTTAATATTCTAGCATCAGAAGGGTGAGGCTCATGTAGACTGTTTTTTCTTTGCATATAATGTCCAAATTCTGTTTGAAACTAACATGTAATTCTGATTTCTACTATATAAAGGTTACAAAAGAATTTTGAAGGTGTACTCATTGGAGCTGACCGTTTAAAGGATCTCGCTGTCTTGAAGGCATGATTCTTTTTTACTTTCTGAATTTATTTCTTCTGTAAATCATAACATCTCTGTTGCACTCTATAACATTTTTTCTTCCAAGTTGGATATTCTATTGTTGTTACTGAGATTCCTAGTAATATGAGGTCTTCTGTATGTTAGTTTCTGTTTTACTTTTATAATATTCTATTCTATTCTATTCCATCAAATGATTAATTCATCATTCAAATTCTAAAGGTTTGTCTTCTTCTTTAGTTCATCCATGTTACTTGTGCATTAAAATTATGGTGGCTAAAAGTTGCTTTCTTGTTAATTAAACTCGTTTGGATAGTTAATAAAATTTGAGCATGCATGTTACATACACATGACAAGTATTAACAAATCCACAAATACAGGTAGATGCCCCTAAAGATATTTTAAGGCCTATCAAGGTGGGGCAATCATCTTCTCTAAAAGTTGGGCAGCAATGTTTGGCAATTGGAAATCCATTTGGTTTTGATCACACCCTCACAGTTGGGGTTATTAGTGGACTTAACCGAGATATCTTTAGTCAAACTGGGGTAACAATTGGTGGTGGTGTTCAAACTGATGCTGCAATAAATCCTGGGAACAGGTTACACTAGGCTCCTTTCCATATATGAACTAGAAATAGTTCCCTTTCTTGAGTTTGGTGCTGTTTACTTGGTCAAAATGTTTTCTTTTTCTTTTCCATGATGGTATTGAGTGTTAACTGGTTGTTATATCAAATGCTGCATTTCTTACTTTTCCTATGATGTTTACAGTGGAGGCCCCCTTCTCAATTCGAAAGGAAGCTTAATTGGGATTAATACTGCAATATTTACTCAGACAGGCAAGATATTTTACCATTACAATCAGAAGGAATTGTACTACTGAACATTGATGTATATATGAAAATTATAGCTTGAGAAAATCTTTCGGGTTCACTTGTTACCACTCTTTCCTTCATTACATTGTTGATCCATTCACTTTACTTTGCATGGCGAAATGACTGTTTAAGCTGCAAGTTCTAGTTGCTGTTCTAGTTTTGCAGGGTTCATGCTTTTGTTTCTTTTCTTGCTATTGCAGGAACATCAGCTGGTGTAGGATTTGCGATCCCATCTTCAACTGTATTGCGAATTGTTCCTCAACTCATTCAGTTTGGAAAAGTAAGTGTTTCATGGAACCAAAATATGCAAAAAGAATCTAGCTAGTCTTTGTATTTGCTGTGATATCCTTATTAATATGACAAGGTTTCATGGTTGGTAGATAGTCCTTTTATGATTTAATGCAAAAAGCACATTATTTTTTTCTAGATTTTAATCAGAGAGAAAATGCTTTGTTGTTTTGTTTGGGAAGAAAACACAGGAAAACAACTGTTGTATATCATATTTATATATAATATCTGTTTTGACAATCTAGCTGCATAATTTTTAAGACCTATATATTTATGGCTACATTTACATTTGGTTTCATAATTTGTCATTCAAGGTTGTTAGAGCTGGTATAAATGTGGATATTGCACCGGACTTAATTGCAAACCAACTTAATGTTCGAAATGGAGCTCTTGTTCTTCTGGTAAATCCACAAGATTCTCTTGTTACACTGTAATTAAACTTTACTTATTGTTAGAGATTCCACGTCGAGCCGAAATAAGACAAATTTATAATATATAATGAGTGAGTGCAAGCCTCACTTTACAAATTTTGTGAGATTGAGGTAGGTTTAAAGTCTATTTCTTAACACTTATAAATTACTTATAAATCATTCTTTAACTCTTGAACTTGTGTTCCTCAGGTACCTGCAAATAGTCTTGCTGCCAAAGCTGGTTTAAATCCCACCACAAGGGGATTTGCTGGAAATATAGTCCTTGGAGATATCATTGTTGCAGTTGACAATAAGCCTGTGAGTCCTCTTCTGAAGATTTTTTTGTTAATTTCCTTAAGTGTTTGTGCTATTCTCTCTAATCATAGTTAGAGGTTGACTTCAGCAATGCATATGATAAACTTGTGTTAATTTATTTGATAATAAGTTTGGTGCATCCTTTGCAGGTGAAGAGCAAAGCAGAGTTGTTGAAAGCATTGGATGAGTATAATGTAGGAGATAAAGTGGTGTTGATGGTTCAGAGGGGCAGTGAAAAGTTGGAGCTGCCTGTGGTACTTGAGGAACAAAGTTCTTGAAATGGTTTTGGTTTATATGTATTGATGTGTTGTTATACACCCACAAATGTATTATATTTGCAGCCAAAAGAAAGTAATTCATCTGTGCAATCCAGGGTCTTATAATAGAAGTATGGTATAAATAATTGCACGATTATCAAAATACTTCACTCTTGAAAAAAAATCTTGTAGATTCTACAACTCATTTTTCACTGATTTATATTTACACAATATATTTTTTTTTATGGTAAAAGTTATTGAATAACACTGGTATTTTTGTATCTTTTATGTAAAATTGATTATGCATATAATTAACCCTTGAGTTGGGGGTAATGATGAATTAAGCCACTTGGGTGAAAAGTGAAATTGTTTGAATATACGAAAGAGTAAGTGAAAATAAGTAGATGAGCATATATATTCATTTAATAAATTGGAAACAAATTTGCATCTTCTATTAAAGCAATATTACAATGTGAATTTACTCATCGATGAAATTCGTTATACAAATTAAAATGCACATTATAAAAATAGAGAGGGTGTCCTCTCTCTCCTTTTTCTTTCTTATTCTTTTCAATGAAATCCTTAAATACAAACGTATACAAATCCCTAAACACGTTAAAATACCTCCTTTCTCTACTCCACTTTTTCATCCACAATAAATCTGTAAATAATTGGATCCAAAAACAGTGTTAAAGATAATATTATTTTGTTTTGGTGGATTTATATGATTAGTTTAGTTAGAATAAATTACATTGTTATCTATGAGATTTTGTGAAATTATATATAATTTCTATTTTCCCTTCCACCAAACTTTTTTAATTATTGAAAAAATATCACGCTTACACTCTTTATACATTATAACTTAAAGCATTCTACCATTTCCTTATAAAAGGTTGAAAGGGTTTGTATAATTTCACAATACCTGAAAAAGGTGAGTATAGTTTAATTTTTTTAAGTCAAAAATTGATTCCTTGTGTGAAAAAATTTAGCATTCATGTAAAACATTGTTTTTTTTTTCATTTCAATCTATTTCGACATAAAAAGTTCAAAATATTCGATAGGTATTTTTTAAGTCAATATGATTCCTTGCGTGCAAAACTTTGTTGGATCAGTAACAAATATAATACTCCAAATGAAAAGAGTGGTAAGATAAAAAACAAAGTCAAACGTTGCTAGTTTCATATATTTCTGCTCAAGCAATAATGGAAACTACATTAGAAAGTGATGTGTTTGGCTTTTTTTTTCAACCAGTTCACATACTCAGAAACTAACATAAGAAATAAATTATGCTTTCTTGCTTGGTTTAACAATAATATATTAACATTGTAAGAGATATTCCCTGTTGATTGAAGAAAATAACACTGCATTACACGGATTTTGAGAGCTACCAATCAATTTCGTGTGGAAGATGTTTAAAGTGTTTCAAACCATGAAAATTCCAAATTCTTATCCATGTTTTTCAGGCATGGATAATTACATCAAGTAATTCTTTGTTTAGTTTACCATTACTACTTAGATTGCTAATTTTCTTAATTGCAGAAATTCGTTATAGATAACATTTTAGAGTGAGAGATGGCGTTTCAAAGCAAAGTTCTGAAATATATTTATACAGACTCAAAGAAAGTAAAATATAAATGTGAAACTTTATTTTAATACACTTGATTACCCACTTGATTTTTTATCATGATAACATAAAAAATGAAATAAATTGCAAAGCATAGTTTTAAGTCTTAATAATTATGTTTGGAGTGGTGTCCACACAGAAAGAGACAGGGACTTAGGTTGCTGGAGTTTGACCAGTTTTCCAACATGGGTTGTAAACCCTAAGACACACGAAAGAGACAACAATGGCATCAAACGAGGTCTAAGTTCTTGTAAATTCACTATGTTTCGATTTTTATCTTTACCAATTTAGTAGACTCCTATGTTGCTACATAGCTGCCTACCCATAAGGGGCATGGTTAGCAATTTTATGCACTGTCATTTCACCATCTCTTTAACCCTTCAATTTTTATATTTTTTTTATGATCATCATCGTCATCATTCCCCATTAATATTTAATAAATAAAAAATTGGTTAAAACTAGTTTGTGAATCTAAATTCCCGTTTTTATTTTGGAGAGAAATTCATTTATTTTTTTAGAAATATTTATGTTGAAAATTCCATTCATTTGCATGTGCTTTTTTCAGAATTTGTGACAGGTCACATGTTCATACGTGTGATGGAAGAAGATGAGGAATATAAGATGTGAAAAGTTTGGCATAGAAAAGAGGATTGTTGCAATCCAAGAATTAGCACAGATGTGACAGACATTGTCTCAGAAGAGTCTCAGAAGAATGAGGCAGAGAATTTCTCATACAGAAAGCAACATTAACAGTATTATATTGAACAATGAGTCCTTCCCACATACTTCACAAAGGAAGAATTCAAAATAGAATTGTTTACACGTAGAAAATGAAAAACAAGTAAGTTAGAAGGTTGCCTTGTCATGTTGTGCTTGTCTTTGATTTGTTGAAGATAAAAGGAAATGTTTGTGAGCATCAGCAATGAAAGTGAAACAATCATAGCACAGATTCACAATATAAAAGCACCTCATAATGCTTCTAATTCTGCAGTCTCTTCTGATCCTTAAATTTCTGTCATTCATTCACACCAATAACACATAAAAGGCCAAAGTGGGTGAGTGAGAGATATCCATTGAAAGGGGTTTTACTTTTGCTTGACTTGGTTGGTGACATCTTCCTTTGCAAGAAGCTTAAATAGCATACAAACACACCCTCTTCTCAACACCAAAGTCATCATCATTTTCATTGGAGCCATATCCTAAAAGGGAGGCAGAAGTTTTGGGAACAGAAACCTTCTTGGGAGGCACATAACTTGACCTTGGACTGACCAAATTTGCAAACACTGTGAGTTAGCACAACTTGAAACTTCTTTTTGTGTCATTATGCATATTTGAGAACAGGCAAATAAATAATGGGTTTTTATTTTCCAAAACTTGCAAACTACAACATGCTTGTGCTTCCATGTATGGAAATATCATAGCCATAAGAAAAGTTATAATATAATATCTTATATTTCATTGTCACTTACTTAGTGAGTTGAAGCTTCTTACAGATATTTGAAAAGATATTGACATCTTGAGAAGCCTCTCTCTCTATATATATTTGCTTTTGGCTTTTGGATAAGTAATTCATATAGAGAAAGAACATGGAGGAGAGGAATGAGATGGAAAAGATTGACGATGTTATGCCAGGATTTCGTTTTCACCCCACTGATGAAGAGCTTGTTGATTTCTATCTCAAGAGAAAAATTCAGCAGAAGTCTCTCCCTATTGAACTGATTAAGCAAGTGGATATTTACAAACATGATCCATGGGACCTTCCAAGTAAGAACTCTCATGGCTCACATCCTCATTTTTATTCCACCTTTCTCTTTTTCTGCTGTTTGGCTTTATGCCAGATGCACAAATGTTACATATACATTTATACTATTCTGCAACCAAGTTTTCCTAGTTTTATTTGGTTTTTGTATTTCTAATGTAAATTTTACTTTTAATCAAGTCAAACTGAAGTATAGGTTTTGTCAGAAAAGAAATTAACAGTTTAGAATGCAGAGACTAAAACTAATATTGACTAAATCTTGAGGCACCTAAAACACATTACAACACTCTTCTTAAGTTGTGGAGATCATCAAAGGTTCAACTGTTTAAAACTAGACAACTCTTTCTTTATTTAACTTGCTCGTGCTAAGCATTACTATAATTTTTGACATCTTAGCTATGTTGATACTTCTAAATATTATCATAAACTTTGACATCTCAGCTATGCTGATATTTCATAGCATATTTAACTTTGTTTCATTTTGTTGTTTTTATGCACAAGAAGAGCTAGCAGGCACAGGGGAGAAAGAGTGGTACTTCTATTGCCCAAGGGACAGAAAATACAGGAACAGTGCACGTCCAAATAGGGTCACAAGAGCTGGGTTTTGGAAGGCCACTGGAACTGACAGACCTATATATTCCTCTGAAGGGAAGTGCATTGGTCTGAAGAAGTCTCTTGTGTTCTACAGAGGAAGAGCTGCCAAAGGGATGAAAACTGATTGGATGATGCATGAGTTTAGGCTTCCTTGCATCTCTGACTCAGCCCCTTCTAAAAAACTCTCAGACAAAACCCTCCTTCCAAGTGTATGTATTCAACCAATTCCTTATACATTCATACATTTTTACAGGACATTTCAAGACTAATCTTGTCATGTTCATACTCATAAACTATACAGAGGAGTGTTAATGCCATACACATTCTCGGACAAGATTTATTTAGTATATTCTTCAAACACTTTCTGTATTTTGATACAAATTTGTTGAAAATTTTACCATCATGAAAGAGACTCATTATATGTAAAGTGAAACCTACAAAAATTTGTTTTTTCTATAACTGTTGATGTTGAAGAGTGTCTTATCAGCATTTTTCAAGCAATACAAATAGATAGATAAACAGTACAATGTATATATTCCAATTCTGCTTATTCATGCATTGAAACAGAGTTCTTTGTCTGTGTTTTCAGGATTCATGGGCAATCTGTAGGATATTCAAGAAAACCAACTCCCTTTCCATGGCACAGAAAGCTTTATCTCACCCTTGGATCTCTCAGTTATCAGGAAGCATGGTATCTGACATGTTCACACAGGGTGCAGAAACAAACCATCACCTAGGATCACCAGCCATTCAATTTTGTTATGAAAAGCAAGAGTTAAACCAAGCCTCCAATAGTGACATCAACACCAACTTCACAGATTCAGATATTGCCAGTTACAAACCCATCAACAGCAGCACAGTTCCCAAGCCTTCACCACAAATTCCTGTTTCAGATGACTTCATATTCTACACAGAACACACCAAGTGCACACTTGATACCAGTTCCATGCTTTCTCCCAACCCTGACTACATAACATTTGAAGAGCCAAACCAACAACAGTACAGTGGCTTCTCAACCAATCTACCTCACTTCATCCAACAAAACATGAGCACAGAAACAGTAACAAAAGAACAACAAGATTGGGAAACAATTGGGAGAGCCACTGGATTTCCCTTTACTTTGCTTCCCCCATATGATGCATGGAAGTCTTCTTCTGTGGCATGGGATTCATCTTCTTGCCCCAGTGACATGTCCACTACCTATTCCACCAGTAAATGCTACACTTGATTCATCAACCAAATTGGGGGCATTAATGCTGTGCATGATCAGGTTTACCACTTCTACAATTTTGGTATATTTACCACTAAAATCAATACCACCAAGTGCTGATTTTACTTGTAAATGTACAAGGGTTACACCATTGTTTCCTTGTTCATAGTTAAATGTACCTGAAGGTAACTGCCACCAAGAAACACAAAAAAGAGTCCAAATTTTATAAGTCATGCATATGCTGGGAAAATAGATCTTCCATGTTAGTTTTTCATGTGACAGAGTCATGTGAAGGGAAAAAAAATACACAAAATTTCTAGTTCTTTTGTGTGTCTATGTTTCTAACTCATGTGATTCTCTCACTTGCAAAACTCTCTAGGATTGATTCACTTTGGGTGCAGCAATCCCTTGTTTCAAGGAGGTTTGCTTATATGCTTATATGTTTGATGTGCTTGGTATTATATTTACCAAGATGTACATATAGTTCCATTTCTCTGCATACAGCTTTAATTTTTTTACTGGTTTATAATTTATTTCTCTTCTGTTATGTTTTTCTGTTTTCTATATTTTAGTGTCTAACGAAAATCTAAGAAACAAACACTTGGAATTTTCTTTGTCATACTATTGTTGAAAATTGTTGAAAAGGCTAAGTTAGCACAACGCATATTTAGATTTATGTTAAGATAATAAAGACTTTTACTTTGGCTTATACTATAAAATCACTTTATCATAAATAAATAAATAAAAATTAGCTTTCACTGTTTTATATAAGAAATGAGTAATACTGACAAATTGGTTCATATCATGAGAGGATAGTGCAGGAACGTGGCGTGCAAGAATGAATGTGAGAAAGTGAAATGAATAAATATATAGTTAAAAAGGTTATGTATTAATTTAACATATAAAATAATATATATGGATAATTAGATATACACACTATAAACTCTGAGATAAAATACTTTCATTCTGCAGAGAAGCCAATTTTCTGGCCACCGCATACAGAGATAGCACAGAATTACAAGTTTCTTTAGTTCAGGATTACCATCAACTAGTTGCTTCTATGGATCAACTGATTTTGAGATTAAACATTTTTAATTAAATTTTTTAAAAGTCTTTATCTAAAATAATAATTTAGTAATAATGCAAAAAGTATTTTACACTGTAAATCTAATCATAATGAGTTATTGCTTCGTGAAAAAGAAATCTTTAAATAAAGTGTTTGGGTTTAATTCTTGTGGATTGATGAAGAAGATGAGGGTAAATTTGTCATTTCTTTAAACTCTGGGATGCAAGAAGAAGAAAAAAGAGGTGCAGAAGAAGGAGCCTTGTAATTTTCTTTTCCAAACATTAGATTGGCTTCACTAACACAATTCGTTTTGTAGATTTTTCTTTTTGCACCTTCATAATTTCTTATCCTACCATCGTAATACAAGAAATGATTAACATTTACATCTCATAATACCTCATAATTGGAACTATATGCTAAAGTATTCTGAAATCCTAAGATATAAGCATTTTATATTAAACAATCTAAAATTATCCAACATATATTATAAATTATATAACGTGAAACTATACTTGATTGTGTAATTCTATTTCAGATTATACAATATAAAATTACTTTCCAAATTATTTGAATGTTCAAAGTATATAATCTAAAATATACCATATATAATAACAACGTTAATATTTTTTATATTACAAGGTAAAAAAAGAAAGCATACGATAAAATAGGAAATAATCATTTTTAATTTTGGCTTTTTAATCATCTCAACCTATTCTTTAATAATAAAATAAAATGAATAAATGAAAATTACACAATTTTCTTACCTTACAAAATATGCTAAAGTATAATAGTAAGTTTTTAGACTAGTTGTTGAGTTTGAATCTCATAATGTAATTTTTATTTTCATTAATCACAACTTAGTTCTCATTGCTATATATTAAAAGTAATCTCTCTCTCTCTCTCTCTCTCTCTCTCTCT